TGCGTCCAAACGGGGACTAAAAAACATATACATCTGATGGTGTTAACAAAATAATTATCCAGTTTGTAAAGACCTGTATAGGCATGTAAACACTCTGTGCACTGTCTTTTTCCTGTCAACATGTCTTTGGTGCAACAATTTGCATGTTTAAACACATTTTTTACAATTTCTTTATTAATTTTGAACTAAATGCTTTATGAATATTTAAAATAAAAAAATATGGAAATAATTAAATTGGTTCATTTTGTGATTCAGTCATTATCTTGAAAAGTTGCGAAACATTTACGCCTTGCACGTTTCAACACTTCTTTACTTTGCAGTAATAATGAATAAAACATCGGAAATCTTTTTTAACATGCGTATGTATTTTCATTCCCTGCAGTAAATACATAAATTTTCACTCTTTTTACAGCAAGTCATGCTTCAAGTAATTGTTCATAAGTCTGGTGTAACTCACTTCTGCTAATTCATCGTTGCCATGGCAGTTAATAGTAACGCCATAGCAACACTCTGGATGTGTGACATTAAACTTTCATAATTGAACTACATCACAATGTGGTAATGTACAAAGGTGACTCCACAAATACCAACATAAGAAGATTAATGTATTGGAAAGTTTAACCTGACAGTGTATTATAATTCTTGGTTTCCCATCAAATTTTGCTTGGTTTAAATTTCGCTGATTTACCATTTCTGGCATATTCAGAGGGTTTTAAATTCATGGTTTTATCATTTAGATAATGTGTTCTATGCTAAATTTTACATATTCACTGGGTTTTCATTTAGCGCATTTTCCAGTCAACATAAAAGGCAAAATTAAAACCCAGTGAATAATTAACCCCTTTATAGTACATATAAACATATAAACTTCTAGATTGTCAAGAAACAAATTAATTAATCCCACAACAGAGCTGATAATTCAATAAAATACAACAAACCACTATCAAATTTTAGAGAAATCAACCAACATTTCATTCAGAAGACTTATGCTAGAAGATCTATTATTTTTTTAAATAATATATATAGTCCATGGTAACATTTATACTCACTTTATATTAACAATTGCAAGTTGTTATGAACAAAGCCTGCATATTGCCAGCTTGGGAGTTATTTTATGTTCAAACTATACTGTAGTTTACATTATACGACTGTAGTTATTATTACTAATATCCCCTATAAAATACACATACACCAAAAATTGCATCTAATGTAACCTGGATCATCCAAAAAATACATTAGTTACTAAAATAGCAAATACAATTATATGCCTCTAATTCAACCCATGCATCACATTTAAATCAAATAATTAATTTTACTAACTATGAATTGATATTCGCAGAAAGGATCTTTAATTAGGACCATGCATAAGTACCAGGATGTATGACCTTTAGGGCATGTCATGTATAAGTACCGAGATGTGTGACTTTTAGGGCCATGTCATGTATAAGTACCAGGATGTGTGACCTTTAGGGCCTTGTCATGCATAAGTACCAGGATGTGTGACCTTTAGGGCCTTGTCATGCATAAGTACCAGGATGTGTGACCTTTAGGGCCTTGTCATGCATAAGTACTAGGTTGTGTGACCTTTAGGGCATGTCATGTATAAGTACCGAGATGTGTGACTTTTAGGGCCATGTCATGTATAAGTACCAGGATGTGTGACCTTTAGGGCCTTGTCATGCATAAGTACCAGGATGTGTGACCTTTAGGGCCTTGTCATGCATAAGTACCAGGTTGTGTGACCTTTAGGGCCTTGTCATACATAAGTACCAGGATGTGTGACCTTTAGGGCCTTGTCATGCATAAGTACCAGGATGTGTGACCTTTAGGGCCTTGTCATGCATAAGTACCAGGTTGTGTGACCTTTAGGGCCTTGTCATACATAAGTACCAGGATGTGTGACCTTTATGGGTCATTCACATCTACCGACAACTACTTGTCAATTACTTGTCTATACATTCAATTTTAATATGACATACACAAAACCGAAAGATTAAAAAAAAGATGCACTCGTGCAGGTATTTATACATTTACTAGTCTGAGAGTTTCTATAAAAGCCGACATGTCCGCCTACACCCAGCTTGTGATATATCTTCAATAATCTCAAATGTCAGCCATTATTTTGAATTGCCACTTTTTTTTATATACATGGTTTTCTTTTCATTGAACATAGTAATCATGTCTATAACCTAGATACAATGTCAGGAAACAAATTGCTACTTTGGTATTTAATGTCAAAAAATGAGTAAAACAAACCCATCAATCATTCGTGTTCATTCCAACTGCATAGATATACTATACATTATTTGGTGCCATAAAAACTAGATAGAAGCAATAGTATACAATCTTAATAACTCATATTTGAGTTTACATCATGCATCATCTAGTGTTAAAAGACAGTGCAGATTTTTTTTTTCTGGGATGTGATGTTATTGTAAATTTGTCTACTTATGCAGAATTGCAGAACAATCGTCTAGTGGTAATTTACGTCTTCCTACGACCAATCTACAGTAACTATTTCTCAGCATAACCTGAAATTTGCTTCTGTGAAACACTGGAAGTTCACAATTAAAAAATCCTGCATTTAAATAGCATCAAAATTAAAGGAGTTTATTCTTTCAAACTAATTCATTTATATTTCTGATAATATGTGTATGTATTTTAACTGATTTTTTTATTTTTTATCATTTCACAGTATATTGTTAATATTGTTTACATATTTGATATTACCTGCCTTGATACATATTTCTTTAATAGACCACCACCTCATTGAAATCATTTATTTTATCAAGTCACGGTCACAGACTAGACTAGCTCCTCAGAGCTATTTATGTGACCAACCAGAAAATTTGCTACGTACATTTGCTTTTCTATAAATAATATCACTTGAATAATGTGATATTATATTGTACAATTTCATTTATATTATCTGGTGAAAATAAACAAAATACAAATTACCCCCCCCCCCCCCCCATAATTTCTAATGGCCTACTCCTAACAGAAAATAGAAATGCGTGTTTTTAACAGCCATTTTTTCAATGTCAAGGTTTAGTTACACCTAGAAAGTTCCAAGTTAGACTCTTGAGAAATAAAAACAGATTTTACCTTTTATAGTTATTTTTCAATTCCAGGAAATCGTTTAATTCTAATTTGACTGTTCTGGTTATCAATTATCAAACATATATATGTGAGTTTTATGTAGTAAACTGGATACTGGAAGGCAGGCAATTAAACTACAGCAAATACCTAGGCAATATTCATTGATAATCTGTCTTTACTATAATCGGGACTAGTCACAAAATATTGATAATCTGGTCAGCATTATGGGGCCCTGACAGTCTTCAAATGAAACCTGTAGACACTGGCAATGGATATTGAGAATGTTCAATATTTTTGATACTGAAAAATTGAGTGTTGAATATACATGTAGCAGAAATACAAGTAACAGCATATGACCTAAACGATATCCAAAATGATAGTCATCAACAGGAAATTACAATTCAAAACAAACAACTGACAAACAATCAACAAGTACACTACAGTCCCACAATATCACAAGAATCACAAGAACAAAGATCAAACCAACCACATAAACAAGCAGCCTCTCAGCTGAGATACTGTAAAATGACTAATTTTAACTGGGTTAAAATTTCGCTGATTTACCATTTCAGGCATATTCAGTGGGTTTTAAATTCATGGTATTATCATTTTATATAATAGATAATGGGTTTTAATTGAGCGCATATTCCAGTCAGCGAAATAAACAAAATTAAAACCCAGTGAATAACTAACCCCTTTACAGTAGCTCCGCTGTTAGCATTGCACATTGTAGTTTTCAAGAAGAAGTAAAAAAATGTAAAAAGTTGACACTGACGACATCGGACGATGCCAGACAATCAATCATATAATAAGCTCTGCTCAACAAAGTCGACAGCAGAGCTAAATATAGCACAGTACACAGCCACAAGTACATACAAGTCCACCTGGTTATCAAGTACATGTATGTACATATCAAATATTAAAACCATTGGGCTAGTTGTTTCTAAGAAGTATAGTCAATAATATAATTTTTTAGCAAAATGAAAAATATTTGCTTAAATATAGATAATTAAAGACATAATCATGAAATGATGAATCTGATACAGGTAGCACCTCGTAAATATAAAAATAATAGGGTTGGTAGTATTCAAAAATTAGTCGAAAATGCAACAACAGACGACCATCTATATTCAATGACAGCAGAGTTTAATAAAAAATTGTTAAATGTTGCGTCAAAATGCTGGCGGCAAATAATGTCATTCAAAGGTTAATACAGCTACTTGGCAGGCAATCAAAGCTTAACAAATGTTAAATATAGATATATTTTTTTTAATAATTTAAGCTTAAATCTGTAATGTGTTATCCCACTATATCTTCTATGTGCTAAAATACCCCTGAGTCACTCTGACAGTGACAGTTGTTCAAAAGGATTGCTTTGATAACATGCAGCTACATGCAATGCACAAGTTTTTTTGCTTGATTATAATTACTGTCTGATCAGAAATTAACCTAAATGAACAACAAGCAGCCTATCGGCTGAGATAGCTCCGCTGTTAGCAATGCACATTTCAATTAAAGAACTGAAGACATCATTAGAAAATGAACAATATGTATAGTATCAAAGCAATCGGACTTACAGTTTTTAACAAGAAGTCGAAAATATCACTTTCTACCAAAAATGACCAAAATATTCACCAAAATCAGAGAATTGAAGATATCATCACGAAATGAACAAATCTGAGAAAGGTCTACATGTAGTATCTATATAGTAATATCAAAGCAATTGAACTTTTGGTTTTTAACAAGTTGAAAATATCACTTTTTACCAAAAATTACAAAAATATTCACCAAAATTAGAGAATTGAAGATACCATCACAAAATGAACAAATCTGAGAGAGGTCCACATGTAGTACCTATATATGTAATATCAAAGCAATCAGACTATTGGTTTTTTACAAGAAGTCGAAAATATCACTTTTTACCAAAAATGACAAAAATATTCACCAAAATTATAGAATCGAAGATACCATCACGAAATGAACAAATCTGAGAAAGGTCTACATGTAGTATCTAAATATGTAATATCAAAGCAATTGAACTATTGGTTTTTTACAAGAAGTCGAAAATATCACTTTTTACCAAAAATTACAAAAATATTCACCAAAATTAGAGAATTGAAGATATCATCACGAAATGAACAAATCTGAGAAAGGTCCACATGTAGTACCTATATATGTAATATCAAAGCAATTGCACTTGCAGTTTTTAACAAGAAGTCGAAAATATCACTTTTTACCAAAAATGACAAAAATATTCACCAAAATTAGAGAATTGAAGATACCAACATGAAATGAACAAACTTAAGAGAGGTCTACCCAAGGTACATATACACCAAGTATCAAAGCATTCAGGCTTGTAGTTTTCAAGAAGAAGTCGAAAAAGTAAAACATTGACACGGACGACGACGGACAATCACTCATATGATAAGCTCCGCTCGACAAAGTCGACAGCGGAGCTAAAAATTAACAGTGTACTACGTATAGCAATAAAGCATTGTTCATACTTCATATACTACGTATGTACATTTGTACTATCCAGAATATTTCCATTATACTATAATATATACATTCTACTACGATCATTATTGAATGTGTTTCAAT